TTTCTGTGTCATGTTGACTACATATCCGTAATCCTTTCACTGACTCAGCATGGAGACTTTTCCTTCAGGCCATCCTTAATACAGGCTGGACAACTGTCAATTGTTTATCCTGTTGGGCTGTTGTGTTTTAGAAAAATGTATCAATCCAGACTGAACTCAGAATTTTTTCAAGTCATTGTGGTTAGGTTGAAAATTAAAATGTGAGAAAATTTTATTATCCATGACTACAAATATGTGTCTTAGGCCAGGGAGATGGCTCAGTAGGATAAGCACTTCCTTGACAAGCACAAGGGCCTGAGTTCAATCCCCAGTTCTGCCAAAAAAAAAAAAAAAAACACAAACCCAAAAGCAAAAGCAAATATGTGTCTTCATTAATATTTTTCTAGTCAGGCAATGGGGCTGTGTATTTTATCTCTCCATGACATTTTATACTACCAACAAAAGAGAGGGTACTATCTGGGGGGGTCTTTATGCCATTTGAAGATGCTACTTTAAGATTTATATGTATTATCTACTTGAAGTTCTGGTTCAATTGCAGCAAATATCACTAATCATGAAGTCATTTAATATTTTGATTATTTAATAGGCATAAATCCTGGGGCATAAGTTGGCCTAAGACATGGGCCTGACCCTCAAAAAGCTTATTTTTTCCTGATTTTCATTGATTTTTCAGGCTCTTCACACTGACCTTCTGAAAATTAATTGTGCACTCATACCACTACTGAATTTGTCAGGAATTTATGGCATTTGCAGTCTCCTTTTTCCTGTTAAATCTAAATTGTTTTTCAGAAGAATGTGACAATTTTGACTGAAATAACAGCACTTTGGGAACTTCAATAGAATTGAAATATGACCTAGAGTAGTTTGAAGGGAAAATTGATGGAAATTTTATAGAGTGATTTATACCGTGTGCATTTTCTGAGAATTATTTTTGCCCTTAAAATCTAGGGAACACTTGCTAATGAAACACACTTGTCTCCCCTTTTAAAGCACAAAGCAGTAAAATATCGAAGTCGAATCTTGGCCTATCAGTATGCACTTAATTTTTAAGTCTGCCAATCATGTGATACATTCTGTCTTTAAAATTGGAGCAGATGGGAACACAGCAGCAGGACCAGTCATTGTGAGCTGGTCCTTCTGCACATAGCCCAGTAGTTGATGCCACGCTGGTCTTCGCCTCTGGCACCTCTACCTTAATCTGTCTCTTCATGCTGGATACATGGGACTGTTTTGTTTTTGTTTGTGGTATTTGCTTGTATAATCTTTGCTTTTCTCATTTAATTGGAAGTTTCAAATAAGCAGTTGGCTCCTTTTGAATACACTAGGCTTATAGCTTTAATATGTATATATGTAGCTGGATTTCTGTATTTTTCATCCAGTTAAACCAGAAAAGGAATGTTTTTCTTCCTTACTCTCTAGCAGTATTGATTTTTATTCTGTTATAAAGCATGATTTTAGATTCTTGTCCTTGACACTCACCTGCTATGTGTGCAGCTAGTGTGACTGTCCCAATATAATTTTTATTGCTTTTTCCATATAGAAATTTCTACTGTACATTTAAGCAGCCTGCTGCTTTCATTAAGCAGGACAAGAATAGAAAGCTTCCAAACCGGTTAGTCCAGTCAATGCACTTTAGGTGGCTTAAGCCTTTGATATTCCTTGAAGCCCTTAAGGAAGCTAGTAAGGCTGGAGGGCTTTTAAGGATAATTCATTGCTTTTTTTCCTTTAACTAATCACTGTCTTGGGGGGACTGTAAATGGTGTCTTTTGTCCTCTTGCAGCTTGAAAGAGGGTGGGCAGGATGAGGATGAGAAGGCCTTGTTCAGGCAAGGGGGCACTGAGCCCTCCACCTCAGGCTTCCAGCTCCGACTTCCTGTCCCCAGTTGTGAGCTTTCAGTAAAGGATTGCATGAGTTCCTGTGTCTCTGGATCTTAAACTTTCTGCTTCCAAGTTCCAATTACCTCTTCTGATGATGAAAGGGCCTCAGCATCCCTTACATCAAATAGATGTGTACAGGCTCAGAAGCAAGTATTGGCTGATGGTATTTGATGCACACCAGGGATGCCCATGTGGCCCGGACTATTAATCTGTGATGGAAATTATAGGTCGGGGAGAGATAGAGGGTTGCAACTGTCTGTTTCCTTTCCAGAGAGAGATGTGAAGCTAATGAACTATGGGGTGAGATGGTTTGGAAGTAGGATAGAGTAATATTCCAAGAGGCCATGAACACCTCTGCTCTGAAGATTTGGTGTTGAAGCTAAGGCTGTAGAAATGAGCACTAGAAAGCCAAGCAAACGGATTGGAGAAGAAAATTGCATGTGAAGAGTAAGTGCTTGTGGGTCCTATGAAAGGGACTTAGTAGGCGCATTGACATGTTGAGAAGGGAACAAAGAGGAGACATGGGGCCAGATAAACCAGCAGGGTCTGCAGGGAGCAGATTGCTCAGGAACTTTCAGGCTGGGAAAGGGAATTAATGCCAGAGGACATGGGAAGGTTTAGTTTGTGTTGGGCGCATCATCTGGCGGATATGGGGAGACCAGATTGAACAGGACAATTGGGGTCTGGGAGACAGGGTAGAGAGTGTCAGAGTGAGAGGGGAGAGCTGCCGCTGATGCGTAGGATGGGCTCCTCTGACCTATGTCCTGCAGATAAGGAGCCAGGGTTTCTATGAACGTGGGATTTTATTTATTTTATTTTATTTTTTAATTGTACCTACTGATTCTCTTCTCTCACAGTCTCCATGAAGACATGAATGTAAACTGTTTCATTTATTTATTACATGGTTTTGTTGTTTCTTTTTTTCTTTTTTCTTTTTTTTTTTTTTTACTAACAATATCTAGAATAAGAGCAGGCTTTAGATGCTCAGCATGAGCTTGTGGAATGAAACTATCTATCTTGCTTTCCAGACTCTAGATCTCAGAACTGAGGTCCATACTCTCTCAGAGGGCACCAGCCATGCGAGGTGGCAGGAAAATCAGGACCCTAACGCAGGGCTCAGTCAAGACCATGGGCTCTCCTGATGCCACTCACCGTCCTGACCACCACACAGGCTGACTTAGGAGCCAGCTCCCCACACAGCCGTGGTACCTGCCCTTGCCCTGAGATTCCACCTCCCACACTTGTGCACTTGTGTGCCTTTGTCTTTGTGTCTGTGTGTCTACTGCCTGACATCTGCTTGGTCCTCAATGAGTATTCAGTGATTCAGTCACTCATCAGCAGCATCAGGTACCTGAAATGCTGCAGTCTAGAGTATCGGAAAGACTCCTGCAGTGGTTCTTTTCTCTGTCCTTATAAAGTAGTCAGGGCAGGAAGAGTTTTCCCCACTTGGTCATGGAGGTAAGGCCTAATGCACTGGTCCATGGCTTGTTTGTATGTTGTAATAATCACTTGAGTGGTTAGAAAGGGGGGGGGGCAGCTGTACCAGTCACATGGAAAGTGATTTTGATTTTAATGGTGTTTTGTTTTACTTGGGAGAGTGAGAATGAGTGTCTGTTTAAGATTCCCATGTGACACTAATGTTTCACAAATTTGAAGAATCACTGGCCTGTGTCAGTGCTCCTCAAATGTGAATGCACTTGCAAATGGCATGCTCAGAGTCAGACTGAGTCATGCAGAGTGGGATCCAGGATCTGTGTGTCTAGCAAACTCCAGAGTGTGGCTGAAGCACCGGCCTGCGGACCACTGACTCCACAGGAGCCAGGGAGCTTTGATGCCCAGATAGCAGAGTGTGTGCTGAACAGCAAGGGCGCATGCTGGCTGCAACACCAGGGGCAGTGGGTCCTGTGCTGTGAGCTCGGAGGGCAACATTGTGCCAGCGCGGACTCCCCAGGAATCCCTTCTCCTTGAATGAGCAAGTGGATCCCTTTGTAATAGTACAGCTCATTGGATTCCACAGATGCCTAATTAGGCATAATCACTCATTCCTTCCTTCCTTGGCCATCTTCACTGGTACTTTATCTAGAACCTACGAAATCAAGATGGAAGCCTTTGTTTTTACTATCCACCCTATGCATGCTTGTGTGTATGTGGAGGGTGTATAGTCATTATTCACTCCAGGGTTTCTGAGTGACTACTCAGGCATAGACAAGCAGGACACCCCGTAGCTCAGCCAGTCGGGAACACACCTCATGATTGGTGGCTTTGTTGAGTATGTAGCTCAGCAGTAGAGTGTCAAGCTATGGATTCAATCCCTAACACCACCAAAAAGAAAAACTCCATAGCCTCTTTGTAAAGAGTAGTGCTTCAAGAAGTAGAATGTCAGCACTGGTTTCCCTGCTCATGGTCTTAGACTCAGTTTGCCTGCTGTAAAATGGAATTGGGTGTGGAAACTTGTAATGGGACAGATAAAAATGAAATGACAGGTGTGAAGTATTAAGTTGGATAAAAATACAATGCTTTTAAAAATTGATTATAGTAAGAGACACAAGGTGATGAGCCCCTCAGAATATTCCCTTTCCTTCACAACAATTGTGCCATTAGTCTTGAAAATTTGGGAAGCTGTTCTAGAAGTACTCTTTTATCAGCGTCTTTAGTTGAGCTGTCGTGGCTGCCTTGGTGTGAAGAGTGGATGCAGAACATTTGTATTTCATTTTATTGTGACTTTGGGAAGATCCAGAAATTGAGCAGGTCCAGATCGCCTCAACAAAGTAGATGAGGACATGCTGTCATGTTTGGACAGCAATTGCTAGGAGCATTTTAAACTTAAGACATCAAGCCAACCAGGAAAACATATTCAGGAGAGAAAACGCCCACAACTGTGTCAGAAATGGCAAGGATGATGGGATGAGTATGTTCCAAGCCAGAGCAAGTAGTTTGAAGGGAATGATGGGGAGGTGTCTTTTACATTTTCAAAAATTTAACACTCATGGGATAAGTTGATCGTACCTCATATTGTGTACGGTGCCCACCTGCAGGAAGTAGTGAATGCATGCTTGCTGGGAATCAGCCCAGGGAAAGGGCTGCGCAGAGTCATCAACGTGTTCTTTGTGTTTGGCTTTCTAGTCAGGTCTCATAAGGACACACAAAAATGAATTCCTCATCTCACCGTTACCTCCGCTGTTGGCTCAGGAACACAACTACAGCACCCCTGCGGGCCACCATCCCCATATACTGTACAAGAGGACAGCAGAGGAGAAGGTCCAGCGGTACGGTGGCTACCCTGGCCCCAGCCGGACTTACCCCGGTCACTCCCCAAGTCACACTCCCCCTGCATCCCAGAGTGCAGAGACAGAATTCCACCATCGAAGGTGGCAAAAGCAGCATTTTTGTGGACAACGCAAGAAATGTATGTAAGGAAACATTTCCTCGTTCTGTTCTTAAATGGGCTTCGGTGTGTTTTTCTGAGTGCTGTTGGGTGTGCTACCTTGCAGGTTTCACTGGGGTCATTCCTGGCACCCGCTGCAGGGTAACTGACCAGGAAAGACTCAGATACAGGTTCTCTTTTGTTCTTTCAGTATCTCTGGTTCTTAGCCACGGGCCTCAATCTTATCCTGGCTTCTGTGCTCTTGGGGAAAGCTTGAAGACTGCCAAAGATGAAATCAGAGGCAAATATCTAGGGGTAGTTGGGTTTTCTTTGAGGCACATGAAGAAGAGACTTCCTGGGAAATAAGGACACTGGTTCATGAGGGCAGGCAGCTATGGAAAACCAGAACCTTGGGCTGGCTTCGAGAACCACGCACAACCTTCCGCATCTTCCAGACCTGCGATATCCAACAGAAATACAGGGCCAGCTCCCCCGTACTTTAAAATTTTCTGCAATTTTTAAAGTTTTAAAAGTTACATTTTAATAACATTTAACTCACTGCATGTAAAATATCTGAACATAAAATGAATATAGCAAATTACTGATGAGAGATTATAGTCTGTTTTTATATTGCATTTTAGAAACACGGGATTTATTCTTGTGGCTCAATTTCAATTCAGGTGATAAAATTTTTGTCAGAAATACTTAATCTGGGGGCCCGGGAGCTGGCTCAGTGGAATGAGCACTTCCCTGGCAAGTGCAAGTGCCTGAGTTCAATCCCTGGTTCTGCAAAAAAATAAAAAATAAAAAAATAAAAATATGTTATTTAGGTTTCATAAGATTTAAGGTTTAAAAGTCGATTAACACACTCTAGTTGTTCCAAAGATACTTCCACTTTATACAACTGCTTTGAAAATAACAATACACAATGTACTGTTGTTATTCTTGTATTATTTTGTTATGAAGTTGTGTGTTATTTTTTCTATAAAATAAAAAGATACTTCCTAGTTTTGCAATATCTGAATCAAGTGCTGCATTGTCAAATTTAGCTGAAACGAAAGAAGAATTCAATTCACCTGTTTCGCAAGCCACAGTCAGTGTCAGGTGGCAAATGGTACTGCATTGGACTATGCAGCCAAAAGAGAATTCTCTCATGGAGCTAAGGAATTGACATCACTGGGATCTGAGTTGGGGGCAACAGTAGACAGTGTTTTTATCCTTACAGTTCTCTTCGGGGTGTTGAAATGGTCACAAGAAAGACGTCCACTTGACGCTTATTATCGGATCTGCCTGTAATAGTGGAATTAGTGTTAGCAGCAATATTTACAGGGCTAATGGTATATTTGATACGTGACATCAAACATTAGGGCAATCTTACGAGTGAGTGTCATCCTTTCTCCTGGAAGAGGCAGCTGAGATCCAGGGTCACATGTGAACTTGTGGTGAACTTGAGCTTTTCAATTAAACCCAGATAATTTAATCTTATAGATTCATTCTGTAGAGAGAGAAAGCTACTGCTAAAGCTATGCCAGTTGTTACAGTATGAAAACATTCCTATACTTATTTAGGGAAGTCCTGAGCTCTTAGCGGTCTGTGATTCCAACTCACCCTTGGACTGTCACTGTCCATTAACCGAAAGTGTCATCCCTGTCAAAAAAGGAGTTTGCATCTCACAGCTGAAAAACTCTAGCCAGTACCTACACTGTGGAGTTGGAAGCCACACTGACCATTCATAAAAAGTGTTTGCTGTTGCCTTAGTATCACCCCAGACTGTGCTGTAGAGTCTCTATTAACTATTTACTATGTGTTACTGTTAAGTCCGTGTTAATGAAACAAAAGTATAAGGCCGTGTTAATGAAACAAAAGTAAAAGTGTTTCGCAGTTCGCACTTCATTCACAAAATCACAAATATAAAGTATTAGCATATAGCTATATGCCTATAATCCCAGCACTCTGGCAGAGTGATGCAAGAGCCCAGTGGGAGCCCAGCCTAGAAATGTAGCTACTTAACAAGACCCTGTCTCAAATAAAAAGTGAAAAGTAAAGTGAGGTATGTGTTCCCTTGCAAATCCCAAGATTCAATTCTGTATATTATATCCAGGCATGGTGACGCATACCTGTAACCCTAGTACTGTAAGAGACTGAGGCAGAGGATTACAAGTTTGAGCCCAGATTTATTTAGCTACTTAATAAGAGCTTGTCTCAGAAAAAAAGACAAAAAAAATATAAAGAGGGCTCAGTGCAAAGGTCCTGGGTTCAATCCTCAACACCAGTATTTTAAAAAATGTATACAGACCTGAAGAATGCTATCTATTTTTATACTTTTTGAGTAATGGAATGAGCATTTTCTCTTTGAAATACCCCTTAATTGATTTTTTTTTAAATTGAGCTGCCCTTTCTACCAAATACAATTGCAGCTTGTTTTCCTTTATTCTTTAGAGCATTTGCAGTTACTGAATCTGTCCATCCATCTACCCATCTACCATACTACCCCTCTATATATCCAAGAATCTATGGAATGGGTTTCCCCCAGCCACGCCCTAGTTGCTAAACACCAGGCCAGGCCCTGATGGCATCACTTAGTGTGGAGAAGGGAGGTGGTGGTGACGTACTCTGCTCCCCTTGTTGAGATCTCCTCCACCCACCTCACCCATGTGCTCCCTGCTGATGTCTCTTCCAAATGCTCTTGTGTTCATGGCAGATGCCCCCCAGCCTCCCACGGAGGACACCTACCTACGATTCGATGAGTACGGGAGCTCAGGACGGCCCAGAAGATCAGCCGGAAAGTCACAAAAGGGCCTCAATGTAGAGACCCTCGTGGTGGCAGACAGGAAGATGGTGGAGAAGCATGGCAAGGGAAACGTCACCACCTATGTCCTCACAGTCATGAACATGGTAAGGGAGGTGAGCACGGGCCTGCCTGGCTCCCTGGGGAACCAAAAATTCCCTGCAAATATTCTCACCGTGCCTAGAACTGCATGGTTACATTTATTTGGGTAGAATTGAGCTTGTGCACTTGTACTTATATCTGAGTGGCTTCTCAGGTGGTCCTGCCTGTTTTGATTGGGCGGTATTTATTCCAACAGGTTTCCAGCCTATTTAAAGATGGGACTATTGGAAGTGACATAAACATTGTAGTGGTGAGCCTCATTCTTCTGGAACAAGAACCTGTAAGCGGCAAGCTTCGTTTGTTTTTTCATTGCCTCCGTCATTCAGCACCCCTTCACTGAACGCCTACTATGTACAGATCCACAGACTAGTCATCAGAAATTTAAATTGGAAGCTATTCTGGGCTGTATACTCAAATAGTTAAACATAACATGGACATCTATTAATTGGTATATACTTGCACAACTATACAACGACAAAATGTTAAGTGCATGCATAGTATAAATTAAAATATATAAAAATATTATACAGGCCTTTCAGGGAAAGTGCTTTAGGTCATAGAATTAAAGATCAGCTGGAGTTTGGCAAGTTGGAAATACTACTTGCAGATAAATTTACAGAGGTATTTTGAACATACGCTGAATGCCATCAGAAAATTCTTGGAGCAAACCTCTCGTCTCCTAGCACTATCTTAACTACTTCAGAGAATAAACACATCTCTAACTGCCCTTGAGTTGATTATAGTCAGGTGTAAGACACCGGCATAGGGCAAGTGACGGGACCGGAACATGATAATGTGTTGAGTTGTGTGGTCACGCTTCGTAGCATTTTGGTGCGTAAGCTCTAGTTTTCTGAGGCAGGGATTAGCAGATTGCTAAATGCCCTGTGGCTTTTCCTGTCCCTCTATAACTACAAAGAAGCGGGCATACAACAGGGAGTCAGGGAAAACTCAAAACTCACCTAACTGCTCAGGTGTGTGGGGTTGCAGCGGTGAAGAAGCTGCCAAGTTATCCTCGGAAATTTAGGAAGATAGGAAGGGTCCGTGTTGTTTGGTAGACACCTTTGCTCTCACCCTACCATTTGTTCATTGCTCCAGGACAACAAAGCCCATGGCACCCTGCATTATTGAGTCAATTCTTATTTAGAAATTATCAACTTCTGGGAGCCTGCGAGATAGCTCAGCAGACTAAAACGCCTGCTTAGGCAAGCACAGGGGCCACAGTTCTATCCCCGGCACCACATGCCTCATAAGCCCTGCCCCAGGCCCACTGAGCTGGCCAGAGTCAAGGCAGAGTGGCACACACCTGTGATCCCAGTGCTGGGGAGGCTGAAAGCAGGAGGATCAACACGAGTCCAAGCTGTGTAGTGAAATACTGTAACAACCAAATACATAAAAAAAAAAAAAAAAAAAAAAAAGATGATAAGGAAAAATCATCAACTTCACCCAACTCAATAGTTTTGACTAGCCAACATTTTGATAAAATTCTGTTAAGAGTAAATCCTATTTTACCCTGTATACTCTTGTACCTATTTGTTACTCATGCATTTTGTCAGTGACATTTCACTGGATTGATTATTCATTGATTGTGAAGTATAGTATTTTACACCCTTTGCTGGAAATTTGATGTGGAGGTAAGAAAGCTCCAGGCCTTTTGTTTATCATGCTGTAGTGAACAGACTCGATATCACCATTAATTTATTATTGTGTGTAACAGTGCAACAGTTTTGTACAGTGGTACCTGGTCACATGAACAAAGGTGTTCCTGGTTGAGGTTAGGTTATTATTCATTGTAGAAATATACTTGTTTATAAACCACATTATGGAAGCTTTGCAGTTTTAAAAATTATGAGCATTGGTTGAAAATAGGTTGTGTTCCTAAGGAGATTTTTTTGTTAGCTCAAATGTTTTGTACTATTGACTTATCCCCCTGGAAACATGATGTTTTTGTCTTTGGCTGTACAAATGGAACCATATAAAGTTCTCATCTCTGTGTCAGAAATCACACTGTGACCCATGTGGGTTTTCTGCAGGGAGGACTATTGATCAACCACCATGCAGATCAGTCTCTAAATAGTTTCTGTCAGTGGCAGTCTGCCCTCATTGGAAAGAACGGCAAGAGGCATGACCACGCCATCTTACTCACGGGATTTGACATTTGTTCCTGGAAGAATGAGCCCTGTGACACTCTAGGTATGCTATGAACAGATCCTGTTAGCTGAAAATGCAGTAGGGAAATTGTTTAGTGTGTGGATGGCCTTTGTGATGATTACTACAGAGACCTAAAGCAGTCGTGTGTCACTTAATGATAGGAATCCATCCTGAGAAGTGACTTTGTTGTTGGATGAATATGCTGGAGTATTCTTAAACAAGCTCAAGTGGTAATGATATCACCAGACAATATACTCTTCTAAGAGCACTGTCACACATGAAGCCTATTGTTGATTGAAACACCATCATACAACACATGAACCTATTTCAGAATACTCATATACCAAGTGAATGCTATTCTGTTTACCTGAAGTCAGTGGAGAGTGGGGAACCCATTAACTTTAATTGTTTTCTGTCTTTGTTGACCATATTGATGATGATTGAGTTCGGAGACATGGCATTGTTTAATTGGACAGGTTGTAGGTAGTACAGAAAGCATCCTGACAACAAAACCACATATCTGAAGAGAAATGGGACAGTTTCCAACTGTGCTACTAACTGGCAGTGCCTCCTTTGGGAAAAAACTTGATTTTAAAGGATGCAGTTCTTTCATATCTGTACAAAGCATTAAGCATAAGGATGGTATCCTTTACATCTGTGCTATATTTTCTAATATATCGTGTAGTACATGGTAAGAATTTGATCATTTTTGTGAATTGATTGTCCAGATCACAGGTCAGCAAAACCTTCTCTAAGTGACCACAGAGAAGTTGTTGCAACTATTCAGATTACCTGTATAAATACAGAAGCATCCTCAGGCAATCACAAACCAATCAGTGTGGTTCTGTCCTAATAAAACTTCATTGACAAAACTTCATTGACAAGGAAACTACAGTTTACTGATACAGCTGGAGGTTCAGACTGGTGGTAAAATTTGGGGGGAGCTGTCAGTATTTATTATGATTTTCCCTCACAATTATCTTGTTCAAAGTATTTTTTAATTCCTTAAGATATACTAGACATAAAGGTAGACTATGTATGGCTGGCCAGATAGCTCAATGTATTAAAATGCCTACTTAGGCAGACACAGGAGCTGGGGGTTCGAGCCCTGGCCTGCCGTGCTGGCCCCAACCCCAGGGTACTCTGAGGTAGCAAATGAGAGTGGGCGTGGTGGCACACACCTGTAATCCCAGTGCTTGGGAGGCTGAAAAATAGGAGGATCACTAGGAGTCCAATATGTACAGTGAGACCCTGTAGACCCTGTACTAAATACATAAAAAGTAAAACAAAACTTAAAAAAACTTTAATCCTTTAAGGGCTTCAACTCAGTATAATGTCTTTATTATGTCCTATACAATAAGTCTACTTTAGTAATTTGCAATTTGTTACAATCTTCAGAAAGTACAACCATTTGGGGAGTAGTTCCATAAAAGGAAGTTCGAATTTTTAAACATTTTTACAATGTATTTATTTGGTTCAGGGTCTTGCTATGCAGCTTGGACTTGTAGTGGTCCTCCTGTCTCAGTCTCCCAGCGCTGGGATTACAGGTGTGCACCACCATGCCTAGTTTCACTGGTCTGGCATGGCACTCCTGTGGTTCTGGGGCCTGCACAGCATGCTGTGCCTGGGATTGAACCTGGGGCCTTGGGCTTGCCATACAGGCATTTAGACCACTGAGCTATCTCCCTAGCCCCTAAAATGAATTTTAAAACTCCTTCATACTCAGAGCACAGGTTGTGCAAAGCGATATTTAATAACTCATTATTGAGTTGTATTATTGAGGTGTAAAAAAAATTCTGAGGCAGCAATTTTATCATCCATTCAGAGATGAAAGTATAAGGAAAGACTTGAAGAAATAATACAACCCAGGTATTCCATCAGCTACCCTACAGTCCCTCCTTTTAAGCAGCACGGTCTACTGCAGAGGGCTGGGGCTTTGGCTTCACATGTGTTGTGCTTAATTTCTGAACCTAGAGTTCGTGACTGTGCAGTTGTGAGCGGGGAGACTCACCAAGCCTCAGGTTCCTGATCAGTAGTTAGCTGCACACACTGACCTTACAGTAGAGGCACAGTGGGCTGGCAGCCACTGACGTGGCAATGATGTCTGTGATGGTGGTGGTGCCAACTGCCGTGGGCACCTTTGTGCTAGGTTCCCTAGATGCCCTCATAGTTTGTGGGCAGTTCACAGGCCTTAACTCAATGCTGCATGGGGGTGTCACCTTGTTCTACTGATTGTTAGGACCCAAATCGGGAGGAGAATACTGATGTAATATGGATCAAAAGTGCCTAGAGGCTTTGCTGGGATGATGTTTTTCAGTACTGGGGATCAGAAATGGGGCCTTCTGTAGGCTGGGCAGAAGCTCCACCGTGGAGCCGCAGCCCCAGCCCAGAGGAATGATGTTGCACTTGCTCTTGAGAACAGGTAACTCTGGGGAATGGGAACACTTACTGGGTCACAGTGAGTAGGAGAAGAAATCACTTTGACCTGCCCAGGCTGCCTGGGCCTTTCCACGTTTTACGCTGTAGAGAGACCAAGATGTGTGTTTTCCCTTGTTAAATACATCCAGCATTTTGACCATAATGCCATTGTGAAGTAGTCTCTCATGGCATAGTCATCTTGTGATCAGTTGCTCTGAGGCAAATAAGAAACCTAGGTAAGGCATATGTATAAATCTCCTGACTTGGAGATTTGCTGGTCAGCTCAACTGTTTAAGCGCCTGCTGGGGCAAACCCAGTCAGGTGCAGGGGGCCACAGTTCGATCCCCAGCCCCACATGCCTTACCAGACCCACCCTTATGGCAGCCTGAGTCAGCCAAAAAAAAAAAAAAAAAACAAAACCTTCTAAATCTCCTGACTTATTCTCCTATATGTAAAACATGAATAACTCAATGCCTCCTGACCTCCCTAGGTTGCTTGGAGGAGCAGTTTGTGACAATATCTAAACACAGGAAAAATTAAGTGTTGCTTGGTAATAGCTTTTATATTTTTAGTATTTGTCTGAAGAAAATTAATTGCATTAATATATTAAGAAAAGAGCATAGGGAGCATTTTGAGGACATGAGAACTGATCGTGTATGTGTGGATTAACCTGTGAAACCAATCTTCCCACAGGGTTTGCGCCTATCAGCGGAATGTGCAGCAAGTACCGAAGCTGCACCATCAACGAGGACACGGGGCTGGGCCTCGCGTTCACCATTGCCCACGAGTCAGGGCACAAGTGAGTGGCTCCTTGATTCACCGCTTTAGTGGAAACTGGCCAAGTGGCTCAGTGGCATTGCACTAATGACGCTGGTGGATTATTATTGAGCTTGGCTGAGTCCAGAGGAAAAGTCTTTGTAAAGCCAAGGACACCATAAGAAGGGCTCAAGAACCCAAAGTGTGAATCATTTAGAAAGAAAAATGAAAGAGAGCAGGAAACAGGGAGCTAGATCTTGTACACATGGGAAGGGAATCTAGAAACAGGAGAAAGAGGGAGAAGAGTAAAAAGAAGTGAGATATGTTAAGCACAGGTGCTTGTTCCCTGAGATGAATGCAAACATAATGGACTACTAATATGTACTAATAAAGGAAGCCGTTTGAAAAGGAAGTGTTCAGGAGAGGCCAGGTATTGTCGATGTCACAGTGTATGTTGCACCAGGTCACCCTGCACTCACTGAAGGACTGCAGATTATTTAGCCTGTTTTCTGGTCATTTAGGTATTTCCTTTGTGTTTGGCTTCAGCAAAGATACTTTTAGCATTCATTATACTACAGAGTAAGTCATGGAGACATACAAATTCCCAGAAGGCTTTGGCATGCTGATTTTTTTTTTTAAAAAAAATTATTGCACACCCCAAATATCCTTTTACTTAAAATATTTTTAATCATTGATTGATTGATGGATGGATTGGCTGATTGATTGATTGATATGGGATCTCACTGAGCAGCTGAGACTCATAGTGATCCTCCTGTGTCAGCCTCCCCAGCACTGGAATTATAGGTATGCGCTACCACACCTGGTTTCGCAACATGCCAGGGGGTCTAGGGCCAGCACAGCATGCAGTACCAGGGATCGAACTTGGGTTGTTGTGTTTTCCAGGCAGGTGCTTAGACAGCTGAGCTATCTCCCCAGCCCTCAAATATCCTTTTAGTTGGTAACATTGTGTGTACTTACTATTCTTTCAAGCCATGCTAATAAATCATTTGTGAGAATAGACTTAGAAATGACAGAAATAAGGTTAATTCACTTTACTAGATATGATATTTGATGTGGAGACAGTACTACAGAGAATTTTGTTAAAATTTATTTTATTTATTTATTTATATGGTATAGGGCCTCACTATGCAACTGAGACTCATAATGATCCTCCTGTCTTAGCCTCCCCAGCGCTGGGCTTACAGGCATGTACCACCACACTCTGTTCTGGGGCCAACACAGCCTGTGGTACTGGGGATTGAACCCAGATCCTCGCACTTGACCACTGAGCTATCTCCCAGCCTGATACCACAGACAATTTTTCATAGTATTTGACCAATAGAAGCTGAATTGGAATAAGCATACTGCTTTACAAAATGACTATTTTAAGAGGCAGTTCTGTTTGGATATAGGACTTTAGGGGATGGGAGACAGAGAGAAAGCATGTATGTATACATTTTATTCAAAATACAATGTATACATGTTCAGAGTATTCGATTCAGTTTTGACTTAAAAGCAAACATCACCTATTCAGGACCTATTCAGCAACTCTGATGTACACAAGGATATTTAGGTGCTGATTCCTTTCATCAGCTAAATTTATTATCTTCAGGAAACTTGAATTGTAACCACTCAAGTTATCAAGTGGCGGGCCCAAGAGATAGCTCAGTGGCATAAGCACCTACCTGGCAAGCTCAAGGTTCTGAGTTCAATCCCTGGTACCAAAAACACCAACAACAGAAAGCAATCCAGTGGCTGTTCTGTGATCCTGTGGTTTCTCAGTGTTTTATACACTCACACAACCACTTTCTTAGGTATGGATGAGCTAGTTTTACTGTGAACAGAGGTACAAAAATGGTCATTACACAAGGACTGTTTATACAGAGCAGGAAATAAAATATGTGAATACATGAAATGTACGTCTAAATTTATTTCACAGGTATGAAATCCAAATTAAAAGCTCACTTTTCCCTTTTTTTCTTTTCTTTCTTTCTTTCTTTTTCTTTTTTTTTTTTTCGAAACGGGGGATTGAGCTCAGGCCCTTGCACTTGCCAGGCAAGCACTTATTCTACTGAACTATCTTCCCTGCCCCTTTACTTTTCAGATCCTGAGGTATTGAAATAATTAACCACTGTGGGTTATAAATTTAATTTATCCATAATGAAAGCCCTATATTTTAGACAAAGAAAAATAAAAACATTCTTCAGATAAAGTGGATGGGTCAGAGTTAGAAGAATGACTGTAAAATACACGCTCAAGTTCTATGCCATTACATTTTGTGAAACTCACAGTTCCTGAGAATTTGATGTCACTTTTGACATGTGCTGGAGAAAATAAGCATAGTCTATAATGCTTATGTTACAGTAACATAAAAGTTATAAAATTTGGATTCAATTCAAGTTTGATTCTCTCTCCCCCTCTTTGTTTTGTCTTTTTGAGTCAAGGTTTCACTATAGAGTCCAGGCTGGCCTTGAACTCACTATGTAGCCCTGGCTGGTCTAGAATTCCCAGAAATACTCCTCCCTTAGCCTCCTGTGTGCTGGAATGCAGGTCTGTGCTGCCACACCCAGCTCCATATTTGGTTTTCTAATGCTCACAAAATTCCAATGAAATGCTAAAGACTTTATGTCTTTGAGTGATAGCTTCAACTGAAATTTAATTTTAGTTGCTAGAATATTTTACAGTGAACTGGGGCAAATTAAAGTTTTATATGCTTAAAGAAGACCTTCATATGACTCAGCAGGTGGTTTCAATGATTGTTTTAAAGGTATTGATAAGAGAATTTAATTATCATCAGGGGTTGGGATTTCCAGCTCGTGAATTGAACATCGCTGGAAGGATGTCCTTATATCATGGGAGATGTACACATGGCTGGTCCATAAGTGGCCTGTGATTACCTTCTTTCCCTGCTACTTCCTGCTCTCTGAACTTCCACACCATCATTCTAACACTGTGGTTGAGAAAGAAGAGTTTTACTCTGTAATTTTTTTTAAATTTACTATCCTGTATCTCTCCTGGCACCATTTAAGAACTTTGGAAGACTCTGGGAAGCCCTCAGGACTCTGGTAAGCTCTGACCGTCCTTAGCTCCAAGTGTGCAGGTGTGGAGCTTCCGCTAGTGCCAGTTGAAACTTTTAGGAACTTAGGTGGGCTGTGAGTGGTCTGTGGGATGCAGGAGGGCTGCAATCTCTGGGCCCAGTGCACTCAGGTGTGGAGCTTTCCTGGAGCGCTTTAAGAATTTTGGTACACTCTGGGCAGTGTGCAGAACTCTATTTGGGTGGTTATTGGGAGCTTCAAAAAATGCCAAAATGCAGGATCAAAAGGCAGTCTCAATCCTCTATCCCACCCAGAACAAATCCAGGATAAAATGACATACAAGAACTTGGAAATCACACTCCTGAAATCTCTGAAATGATAGCAACTGAAGTAAAGAAACAAGTCCATCAGGCTCTAGAAGAAATACAATCAACAATAAACTCTCAGGTCCAAAAAGAAAGAAGACCAGTTGTGAAAGAATTTCTAGCACAGCTTAAGAAAACATAAAAAACTTGGAGGATAATAGAAAAAAGTTGGGAACACTGAATGAACAATACAGGAAAGAACTAGAATGCATGAAACAGATCCAAAGAGATACCCAAGAAATTAAGTACTCCACTGAAATCTGGAAAAGCTGCTTGAATGAGACTGAAGATAGACTTTCAGACCTCAAAGACAGTGTGGCAGCTAATGAATGTGAAATAAAGATCTCTTAAAATTAATAAGGAAATAACTAACAATTCAACAGCTACAAGACAATGGAAAGAAAAATAGTATAAGAATAGATGTTCATGAAGCAGCAGGAGAGAGCATAAATGACATAAAAATACTATTTGCACAAGTGCTAGCAGAAAATTTTCCAAATATGAAAAAAGAACCTGACGTACCAATAAGTGAGACAGATAGACCTCCACACAGCCATAATCACAATAAACCTACACCTAGACACATAATAGTGAAGATCTCAGAAATTCAACAAAACAGTAGAATATTAAATGCTGCTAGAGAAAAGAAACAGATTACCCATAAGGGAAAGCCCATCAGAATCATGGCAGATTTCTCAACGCAAACCATCAAATCAGGAAGAGATTGGAGTGAAGTATTTCAGGTCCTGAAAGAAAATAACTTCCAACCCAGATTGATGTACTCTACAAAACCATCTATCAAATTCATGGGTAAAATAAGATCCTTCCATGACGAAGAGTTGAAGAAATTCATGACCACCAAACCAATCCTACAAAGAGTACTGACAGATATTCTAGAAAGAGAAGTGAAAAAAAGGAACTGCCAAACAGACCGAATAAAAAGAGGGAAAAAGTACAAAACCTATAATAGGAAAATAACACGACAAAGATATGCCAATATGTACCAGTTATAACCATCAGTGCAAATGGCCTCAATTCACCAACCAAAAATACAGACTAGCAGAGTAGATTAAGACACAAAATGCAACAATATGCTTCATACAAGAAACACATTTAACTCAAAAGGAAATTCACAGACTGAAAGTCAAAGGATGGAAAACAATCCTCCCATGCCACAGAAAATCAGAAAAAAGCAAGGGTGGCTATCCTGGTGGCTGACAATATCAACTTAAAGCACAAAATCATCCAAGGAGATAAAAAAAGGTCCCTCCATACTGGTTAAGGGAAAGCTGCAAGAGGAAGAGATAACAATTATAAACATATATGCATCCAGTGTAGGAGCACTGTCTTACATAAGAAACATTTTAACAGACATGAAAATGAAATGAGCAATAATACAATAGTAATGGGGGACTGTTACATGCCACTGTCACAAAGAGATGACCAGCTTGGCAAAAAAATCAGCAAAGAAATACAACTAAATTTGTGAAGAAATTGCCTTGGTAGACCTTTACGGAGTATTTCACCAAGCAACAATAGAATGCACACTCTTCTCAGCTGCACATGGGACATTCTCCAGACTAGACCACATACTAGTACACGGAGCTTTAAGGAAATGCAAAGTAATTGAAATCATTTCATGTATATTATCTGATCACAGTGCAGTAAGACTGGAGATTATTGACAAAGGAAACTACCAAAAAAAAAAAAACAAACAAACATAAACTCATGGAAATTAAATAACCTCCTAAACAACCAGTGAGTCACAGATGAAATTAAGAAATTAAAAAAATTTACACTCAAACAAACATACAACTTACTGAAACCTGTGGGATGCAATGAAAGCTGTCTTACAAGGAAAATTTATAGCAGTAAACTCACACATTAGGAAACCAGAACAAGCCCAAATAGATGATCTTATGCTACACCTCAAGCTCCTAGCAAAATAAGAGCAAGTCAAGCCCAAAGCCCAAAGAAGTCTGAAAATTAGAAGATTAGAGCTGAAATTAATGCATTGGAGATGAAGAAAACAATACAAAGAATAAATGGATCAAAGAGTTGGTTCTTTGAGATACAAATAAAATTGATAACCCCCTAGCCAACCTAATTAAAAAAAGAAAAAAAAAGGAAAAAACCCAAATTCATGCAATAAAGAGTGAAAAGGGAGAAATCACTATAGACCCTGAATGCATTCCTGGAATGAATCCCAGTTGTTCATGATATATAATCTTCTTGATGATTTGCTGCATTCTCTTTCCAAGTATTTTATTGAAGATTTTTGACAAGTATTACTCCGATTTCAAATGTAGAGAAAGATCCAACTAAAAAAGAGAACTACAGAAAAATTGAGAGGATCATCAATACTTACTTCCAAAATCTTTACTTTCACAGGATGGAAAACACATAGGAAATGGACAGGTTCTTAGATAGATGTGAAATGCCAAAGCTGACTCTAGAAGATACACAAAATCTAAACCCAAAAATGAGAGATGAAATTGAAAATGTAATAATAATTAATAGAAAAAAACTAACAAAGCCCGGGTCCTGATAGATTCACAGTAAAATTCTACAAGAAATCTAGAGACGGTTTAATGCCAACTTTTCTCAAACTCTTCGGTGAAATTGGAAGGGAAGCAATTCTCCCAAACTCATTCCCAGAGGCAAGTATTACTCCGATTTCAAATCTAAAGAAAGACCCAACTAAAAAAAGAGAACTACAGGCCAATCTCAATATAGATGCAAAAGTCTTCAATAAAATACTTGGAAACAGAATGCAGCACACCATCAAGAAGATTATGTATCATGAGCAAGTGGGATTCATTCCAGGAATGCAGGGGTGCTTCAGCATATGCAAGCCCATAAATGTAATACACCACATCAATAGAACCAAGAACAAAAACTACATGAGCATCTCAGTAGATGTAGTAAAAGCTTTTCACAAAGTCCAACACTCATTCATGATAAAAAAAAACCTTACAGAGAATTGGAATAGATAGTCTATATCTCAACCTGATAAAAGCCATCTGTGAGAAACTAATAGCCAAGATTATACTACATGGGCAAAAACTGAAGGCTTTCACTTTAAAATCAGGATCAAGACAAGGATGTCCACTGTCTCCAATCCTGTTCACTGTAGTTCTAAAAATATTATCAAGAGCAATTAGACAAGAGAGAGAAATAAGGGTTTGAAAATATCATTATTTGTAGATGACATAATTCTCTACATAGAGTATCCCAAAAACTCCAAGCGTCTTATAGATTTAATCATCAAATTTAATCAGCAGTGTAGAAGGATACAAAGTGAACACCCAAAAATCACTAGTATTTTTGTACACAAACAATTTACACAGTGAGGGAGAAGTTAGGGAAACTGTACCTTGCACGGTAGCATTCAAAAAAGTGAAATACTTAGGAATCAATCTCACACTGTATAAAAGGCTCATACAGTGAAAATTATGGAATGCTGAGAAAAGAGATGGAAGTGGACTTGAAAAAATGGAAAAATATTCCATGCTCCTTGATAGGAAGGACCAACACTGTAGAAGTGGCCATTCTCCCAAAGTTGTCATACAAATTCAATGCAATACCAACTAAAATACCATTAGCATATGTCACAGATCTAGAGAAAACTTCCCTCAAATTCATTTTCAACCAGAAGAGACCCAGTATATCAAAAACAATCCTGGGAAACAAAGGAAAGGTAGGAGGTATCATAATCTCTGACCTGAAATTATACTATATGGCTACTGTGATAAAATCAGCATGGTACTGGCATAGAGACAGACTTGAGGATCAATGGAACAGATTAGAAGATGCAGACCCAACTAAAAACACATTCACCTTACCTTTGATAAAGGGGCCAAACATGTTCATTGGAAGAAATACAGCCTCTTTAATAAATTGTGCTGGAAAAACTGGCTTTCTGCATGCCTAAGGCTAAACCTAGACCCATGCTTATCACCATGTACAAAGCTACAGTCAAAATGGGTCAAAGATTTTAATATTAAAACTGAAACACTAAATCTTCTGGAGGAAATAGATAAAACTCTTAAAGACATTGGAGTAGGTAGAACATTCATGAACAAAACCAAACTGCATGGGAAATATTTCAAAGACTCAGCAACTGGGATCTCATCCTTTTGAAAAGTTTTTGCACTTCAAGAAAATCTCCTATACAGCAAAAACAAACCCCAAAAACTACAAAAAAAATTATAGGCAATTATCTCTTCAACAAAGACCTTCTATCTAGAACATAAAAATATTTTTAAATGATCAGGCCCCCAAAATACAAAGACCCAATCCAAAAATGGGCATCTGGGATAAATATACACTTCTCAGAGGAAGAAATACAAGTGGCAAGTAAATATATAAAAAAATGTTCAACATCATCAATCATTTGAGAAATGCAATGTAAAACAACACTGAGATTCCATCTCACCCCAAAAGGAATGGCTAACATCAAGAAGTCAGCCAATAACACATACTGGAGAGGCTTTAGAGAAAATGGGACTTTTCTGCACTGTTGGTGGGAGTGCAGACTGGTACAACTACTATGGAAATCAGTGTAGAGATCCTTAAAAAGCTGGGATCAGAGATCCTATTCAAGCCAGCTATTCCCCTTCTGGGTATTTTTTCCAGAAGAACCGAAAACTTCATACCACAGTGATATATGTACCCATGTTTCTAGCCTCACAGTTTATTGTAGCTAAATCCTGGAAGCAACCCAGATGCTCCAGAAGAGAAATTTATTGTTATTACCATACAACCTAGGCTGTTAAGCTTAATCTCACTATCTGTCTGAATATCAAACATCTTAGGCATAACATGGAACAGGAATTTTTCATCAACAGAACTAAATAAAAAAAGGAGATACAGGTGAATGTCCATTTTGTATTTGTGTATTCAAAATGGTTAGATATATAGTTACATTCTCTTAATGAATAGAGGGATTTGTTCTAACAGTGTTTGTAAATAGGATATCATGTCTGCATCTTGTACAGCAATTAACCACTAGGAAGAATGTATGCAATGTGTTAATTATTGAAACTGTCCTACCAATTTGGTTTGAAACTGTCTCATTGCTATTTGTTTCTCAATAAAAGAAAAAAAATCAACAATAAAAAATAAATAAAAACAACCCAGATGCCCATCAACTGAAGAATGGATAAAGAAGATATGGTGTTTTTACACAATGGAGTATTATCTGGCTATAAAAAGGATAAATGTGAGTCTTTTGTCAGTGAATGGATGCAACTAGAGAACATATTCTTAGTGAAATAAAGCAGACCCACATGTGCGAATATACTGCCTCCTTAGTGTGAGAAAGGGAAAGAGAGAAGAGGAATCCAAAGGCATGATAGATACTGGGAAAAGGGAATCGGTTTATTCAAAAGAAAAACTTACTGAGTTGAGAAGGACAGGAGAGGGAGTCGGGGAAAGAGATTTATGTATGTAAGCAGGATGACTTGGACAACTGTACTGTGCATTTCTGCTAGTCTATGGAAAGAAGCAATTAATGCTTTGTTTCATCTCCTTTTTTCAATTGTTCTTTTTCTTTTCTTAATTTCTTATACATTTGTTTCCTCTGTTCTTTCAATTTTACATGTATATATCTGGTAAGATGGATAACTGTTTGGAAGACTATACTGTATATTAAATACTGTGAAATTCATATTTCAGTGAAATTCTGTATCACTTGTAACTTTTTCTGTTTTAATTCTAATTTGTACTTTCTTTAATTTTTTTTTTAATTTTTAAAAAATCACTATCCTATCACTTTATTTTAGCTGAGGAATCTTGCCCGAGATTTATTTTTTAGCCCTTAAAATGTGTAGCATGTACTGGGCGCAGTGGCTCATACCTTTAATACCAATAATCTGGGAGATTGAAGCAGGCGTACTGCAGCAAGTTCAAGGGAAGCCTGTTCTACATAGTTCATGGCCAGCATAAACTACTTGAGGGACTCTGTTTCAAAAAAATAAAGAAAAAACATTTAATAAATATGTATCAAATACACCATTCTTTGATTTTGTGGCCAAAAATAATACAGTGAAATTTTACCGTTCTTTAACACATTCTGGATGAAGTCAGATGGAGCAATACATGTCTAAATCCCAGACCTCTGGAAGGCTAAGGCAGGGGAATTGCAAATTCAAGTCCAGCCTGGGCAGTGTAGGACCTTCAAAAGACCTTGTCTCAAACAATAAAAGGCTGGGGATGTAGCTCAAGGTAGAAAGCCTGAGTGCAGTCCCTAGTACCGTATATATACATATGAGATATATATATCTCATATGTATATATACACACACACACAATTATCCACTTGAAATATGCAAGGGTTTATAGTCATTCATTTTGTCTTTCTCTTTCTTGCTAGTCTAGGAGCTGTGCTTCTCCCCTTGACAGTGCATCTTTTGGCATCCACTGGTTACAGTGTGGACCACGAGTTCTCACAACTGTGGCTTTCTTTCATTTCAGCTTTGGCATGATTCATGATGGTGAAGGCAATCCATGCAGGAAAGCCGAGGGCAACATCATGTCTCCCACGCTGACCGGAAACAATGGGGTGTTCTCCTGGTCTTCCTGCAGCCGACAGTATCTCAAGAAATTCCTTAGGTAAGGCAGGTGAAAGCCAGGGCTGTTGCCAGTTTTGGAGTAGTGGCAGGCAACAGTGCTCCCAAAGTATGAGAGCAGATAGTGGAAATACCTGCAGATACCTCCATGAATGAAAAGATTGAAAGATTTCTGTGGTGGTGGCTGGTAATGATGATCATGACAGCATTGTTGTTGGAAAAATGAGCCAAAGCTGATGCTTTGCTAAATACTCTCCACGCATCGCCTCTCAACACTTACAGCAGGGCCAGCACTAGCTCCCTTCTGCACTTGAGGAGCCTGAGTTACAGAGAGGCTAATGTTGTTGCCAAGGTGCTATAGGTAGTGAACAGTAGACAGAGGCTCACACTAGGGTCTGAGCTTAATTTAAGATCTCTGCATCCGGGGGCCTGCCCCTTAGTTCAGTTCTTTAAGTGGCTGTTTCAACAAAGCAGTCAGGCTCAGGTTGCTGTGGTTCGATCCCCACAACTGAAGCCAGCCAAACTTGCCCTGAAGGCATTCGGAGCAAAAAAAAAAAAAAGCTCTCTGCATTCAACCCCATCTCTTTTGGCTTCTACAGCCTGCTGAGTAGATTGTCTTTTTGCTGTGATCGATTATTTTAGTCTGATCAATCAATTTGTCTTAGGAGTGTTTTTTAAAATCCCCTAGTTGTATGTGTATTTAACAAATAGAGCACTTCTTGATTAGCTATTTTGTTTGAAATGGTGGTATTTTGTTTGAAATCGCTCTGTGTCCTATATTGTATATAGATTTTTTTTGATACAATTCTTTTAATGTTTTAGAACTCCTAGACTGCATTAAGAAAAGTAGAAGTTGAGGAAATAGTATTAGATTCATATTAAACAGTGATCTCAAAGTTGATTTCTATTTATGTAGTTTTTTTCTTTGTTCTTTTTTGAAGAGTAGAAACAAAATCAAGGACAAAATCAGAAACAGGGTAACATACAATAATACATATGTTACAGATTTTCAAAACAAGAATAGCTGATCAACAATGATTTATATATTATCTATTTTTATCATCATATCTGTTGCTTGGATTAACAGATAGAGTTTACTGCTTGCTTTCAAGAAATCATAAATTTTTGAAATTATATTCATCTATACAACCACTTAGGTTCTAATCCTGTCTCCCTTTGACTAGATATTAATGAAGTGTTTTGGGATTTGATATTTATTATTCTTTTGTATATAGATATATGTTATTTTCAAATGTTTGAAGCTACATAGGCAAAGATCCCTACCAAGATACATAGGCAAAGCAAATTAAACTATGGATGTCTAATTAAAAGATGCCCAAAGGATAGTAAAAAAAGGATAAACCTTTTACTAATAATAAACTTTGGTGATAGATTTTATTAGTTTTAAATTCATGATCGGGGGCCTACAGCAGCAATTTACAAAATCTTTTATAATTTACATGAGATTGGAAGTAATAAGTGTTATAAATCAAGATGAACTTTCCATAGACAGGATTTCAGTTATTAGTATGTTGTAGTTCAGTGTTTTCCCACAGCAATAAGAAGAGCAGCAGCTGCTAACTTTGCTTAGTTGCTGTTGTGAGCGCTTTCCTTTTTCCAGTTGGAGCTATACAACAGCTGTTGAGGAACTTGCAGCCATTAATGAGATGTGTGAGATTTATCCATTCAGCCTTGGATGCATGGTCAATAGGCTCCCATCTGGCCGACCACACAACCACACTTAACCCTCCGTAGTAGTGCAGTTCAATTATTTAACTGGACAAGAAGCACTGTGAAAATTTGAGTTGTAAGACTGATTTCTGTTCTGCACATGCCCCACTCCAACGTGCCCAAGGGCACATGTTTTGCCTCGTGCCCCGATGTATTCCTCCTCCTTATTCTTTCAATAACCTTATTTACTTTATTTATGAAGCTCATTTGAGGCAGAGTACACCATCCACTTTGGCCTCACCATCTGTAAAAAGCATAGCATAATTGAAAACTCCCCAAAGATAGATAATACCTGTTTGGATTGTTTTGTGCCCTTAGTAGTTAGCCAGGTGTTTACCATGTTGTAGGCGCTCGATTAAAAAAAAAAAAAAAAAATTATGAAGATTCTTCAACAAGTCTGTGCAAGGAACCTTCTAAATGTTTACCTTTCCCAGCTCTAATCCCAAGCCAAACCAGTAGGATGCCTAGAATGTCCAGCTCTTTGAAAAGCCTACCTTTCCATTCTTCAGGAAAAAAAGAATGTTGACTTTAAACATATACCTGTATCTTTTACCATATTCTGTTTTTCTTTGTATGACTGCGTGCAGATAGATATTGTTTTAAATGGAAATATCCCAGATTAGCAAAGTAACTAACAAGGGTGCATTTCCCTACAGCACACCTCAGGCCGGGTGTCTAGTGGACGAGCCCAAGCAAACAGGACAGTATAAATATCCCAACAAACTGCCAGGGCAGATTTACGATGCAGACACACAGTGCAAGTGGCAATTTGGAGCAAAAGCCAAGCTGTGCAGCCTTGGTTTTGTGAAGGTATGTTTGTTGGTGATTTCAGACTTCCATTAAGATTCTGCAGTGTCTCTGTGTGCCTACCAGAAAGATAAACATTTGGTTTGCTTAGGGCAAAGGTCAGAGTCTGGGTTAGCTAAAGTGTTAGCTGCTTGTCATGATAATTAAGCGGCAATTTTACTGTCAATGAATTATCCAGGATTATTCCCTGTAGACTGTGCCTGGTCTAAATATCACTTACCATATTCTTCGAAGAAAATTCCTTGTCAGATGAAGATTTTATCCCCAGTACTAACTCTGGGAAGAATGCCTTTTACTGACTGCTGATCACTGTTTTTGTTCTCTTCCTGTTCACATTCCCTTTTAATGTAATACATTTAAAATGATCACCGGCCCCAAACGCACCCAATGCCTCTTCAAAGAAAGCTGTTACTGCCAGCCACATTTTTCTTGTATGTAAAACTTTAAGGTGCATTTTGAGAATTCTTAAACAGGTTTTTTGTTGGAGAAGGTTAAAATGAGAAAGAGGAAAATGTAAAGGTCCACAATGTAGAAATGAGAGAATTTAGTTCTACTTGGTCAAGAATTAACTCACTGAGGGCATGACAATCTCAGCATCACTGAGGAGAAGAATCATTTTTAAATTGGTTTATCCCTAGAGTACAGCGAGCAATAAGAAGATCTGGGTCCCGGATCCATGAAAGCTGTGGAGGTTACTAGCTCCTTTTCCCCTCTCTTTCCAGTGCTCTTCCCCTTTCTCCCCCTGCTCTTCTTTTCCCTATTGTTTCTCACTGCCACCCACCACCGCCAGAGCTATCCCCAACACCAACCAAACCTCTCATAGGAAAACCACTCCATCATAGCGTTGTCTCCGGCACCACCGTCCACCACACCTGTACCGCTTCGCACCACAACCAACCGCCACCATCACCACTGCCTCCGCCCCCCACCCTCTCCTGCCAGTCCCCATGACCTCCACATCACACTATCCACTGTTCCCCAGGAGTTTCTAAGTGGGTTTCCGCTCCAATAAGGCAATTCTACTAAAACCCAA